CTGGGATTTGTCTACATCATTTCAGAATGAGTGAGTATGTCTTTAGTTTCACACCACTTTCAGCAATATCACGGCAAGGGACACCAGAAATAGGCTTCACACATTGTGCCCATGTGGGGAATCAAACCCAGGCCTTCAGCATGATGAGCTTAATCGCTTTAACCATTAGGGCTACCCCAATCGCCCAGAGATGTTCAGAGGCTGATATGTGGGACCAAGTTTGCAGAAAATGTCTGTAAATATAACCAAACTTGAAACACAAAATGTTTGAATTTTGCACAGATGACAAGTATATCATTGCCAACATGACCAACAGAGAAGACACTTGCATCAATTTAACATTGCATCAGTCATAACCCAACAAGAATACTTTGTTTTTCTTTATTTTAGTGAATGTGAATGCAAAAATAGAATATCTCTGAATTTAAAAAAATAACTAATAAATCCCAGTTGTGAACAAACTGATGAATTTTACCCAATTTTCCTTGAGAATCACCAGAAGATGTCTTCATTGTACTCATGCAGGGACTCAAACTTAAGTCTTCGGTGTGACAAGTGGACGATTAACCACTAGGCTCCCACCCCCTCGTGATTGCGATAGTTTGTAAGGTAATCTAGATCCTGCAGTGATCCGTCAGGTTATTGCCAAACTTTGTAACACGACTTTGAAGCAGCATAAACATGCTTCAGTAAAATGGGCTGCATTGTCAGACATCAATTTGTGATGTGTCAATATGTCAGTCAAAAATATATGCATCAGGTAACAGTACAATCTCATTATTTCCTAAAATAACAAACGCCTTTATCACAGCTTGAAACAAACATAAAACAAACAAACATATTACGCTGAGAAACAAATCAGCTGTTTCAGGATATTATCGTTGCTGTAGCTATTTGACAAACAAGATGAAGATCTATATAATGTAAGTAATATCAGTTATAAATAAGCCATTTGTGTTAAAAAATGATTAAAACAAATAAAACAAAAACGACAAAAATCAGCTGATTAGCTAGGACAGCTAATTTCACAATGTCTAGTTCCCCATTTAATGATTGTGTCACCTGTTTGGGAGAGTAGCATCTATTAAAAGTAGAACCATTGTACTCGACACTGATACTAATGCACAGACATATTTTAATATAAAATTGCATTGCCGGACCACATTTAAGAGTGGATTTGAACAAATATAACAAACAAATAATTATGAAGCTCACTGAAAACATTTGAAAACAAAAATGTCATTTGAACATAAAATCGTTCATCGTGAATAAATTAAGTACCTAATACTTGCATGTCAGTATTTCTTTTGATGTATTGCTATACAAAAAAACACAGATTAAAATGCATTCGGTACATTCTGTTTGAGACAAATACAATGTAAAGTCAATGCTGCCTTTACACATTACGAATGGGTCGATTCAATGAATTTTGATACGCGACGCCAAAAGACGGAATGAGCGTAAAACCATTGCAATTGGTGTTAGCACTCCATGAAGAATGTCGATCACAGGTTGTGACAGGTGGCGACACCCGTCAAGATGTTCCAGAAGAAACAACGATTGGTTGGAGGATGAGGCTGAAGGTGAGAGAGAAAAGTGGCTTCAGTAGGGAGTCCCTAACACCAGTCAGTAGACCAATGATGATTGGCTGAACCACATGGTGGAAGACAAATTTCAGCTTCTAATGATGAAAATGATGAATATTCCAGTGACAAGTCGTAATCCTCCAAATACTTCCTGCCACAGGCGTGTTACAACTCTCTCTGCTCTGGAATACACAAAACCATTGCCATTATTAATGGGATATCAGGCGCCGTACAACTCGCTCTGGAATACACAAACCATTGCCATTATTAATGGGATATCAGGCGTGACAACTCTCTCTGCTCTGGAATACACAAAACCATTGCCACTGATTATGGGATATCAGGCGTCGACAACTCTCTGCTCTGGAATACACAAAACCATTGCCATTATTAATGGGATATCAGGCCGTCATAACAACTCTTCGCTCTGGAATACACAAAACCATTGCCATTATTAATGGGATATCAGGCCGCATTAACTGCTCTGAATACACAAAACCATTGCCATTATTAATGGGATATCAGGCGTCGTACAACTCTCTCTCTCTGAATACACAAAACCATTGCCACTGATTATGGGATATCAGGCCGCATAACTCACTTTGCTCTGAATACACAAAACCATTGCCATTATTAATGGGATATCAGGCGTCAGACAACTCTCTCTGCTCTGAATACACAAAACCATTGCCACTGATTATGGGATATCAGGCCGTATTACAACTCTCTCTGCTCTGGAATACACAAAACCATTGCCATTATTAATGGGATATCAGGCTACCGTGACAACTCTCTCTGCTCTGGAATACACAAAACCATTGCCATTATTAATGGGATATCAGGCGTCAGACAACTCTCTGCTCTGAATACACAAAACCATTGCCACTGATTATGGGATATCAGGCTGTATACAACTCTCTGCTCTGGAATACACAAAACCATTGCCATTATTAATGGGATATCAGGCGTCAGGACAACTCTCTCTGCTCTGGAATACACAAAACCATTGCCATTATTAATGGATATCAGGCGTCGTACAACTCACTCTCTGCTCTGAATACACAAAACCATTGCCACTGATTATGGGATATCAGGCCGTCAGACAACTCCTCACTTTGCTCTGAATACATTGAAACCATTGCCACTGATTATGGATATCAGGCTTCTTATACAACTCTGTCTTCTCTGGAATACACAAAAACCACTGCCACTGATTATGGATATAAGGCGTGACAACCTCTCTTCTGCTCTGAATAATAATAATAAAACCATTGGCATTATTAATGCAATATCAGGCTTCATACAACTCTCTCTGCCCTGAATACACAAACCATTGCCATTTGTTTGAGACAAGTACAGTGTAAAGTCAATGCTGCCTTTACACATTGCGAATCAGTCAATTTGATGAACTTTTATGAATAATGGGATAACAGGTGTCATGCAAGTCTCTCTGCTCTGGAATACACAAAACCATTGCCATTATTAATGGGATAACTCTTACTAACACATTTAGCATTATGGAGTCTGGATATAATGGTTTTGTCTGGACTTTAAATCTAAAGTCTGGACTTTGGTGCAGAGGTCAGCATGAGTTATGTCCCTTGGTCACTGATCGGGATGCTTGTGCAGGATGTTGTCATATATTTTCCAAGGAATTGTTTACATTCACCAGACAATTGTTGGTTTTCTTGTTGCATAAGATACAAAATATGGCTAACAGACATGTTGTTTAGAATGGTTAACAGATCAGGTAACATCATGTACAAGTCTTTTCAGTCATGTCACCTAAGACTTGCAACTGAGTGAGTGAGTGAGTTTACGTCGCTTTTAGCAATATTCCAGCAATGTCACAGCGGGGAACACCAGAAATGGGCTTCACACACTGTACCCATGTGGGGAATCGAACCCGGGTCTTCAGCATGATGAGCGAATGCTTTAACCACTAGGCTACCCCACTGCCCCGACTTGCAACTGAAAGGATGACATATTATGAGAGCCCTTTTGGTCCACTGGAAATGTCAACTTTAATACTGAAAAGTTATAATTCAGTTCACTGAGAACATTCTTTCACTTGCATGCTTCACACATCTGCATGATCAAGAACAGAAGGAACATTTCTTAAGAAATCACTGCTGCTTACCCATGTTCAAAATATCAGAGAATAAGCAATGAACACCTCTAACATGAGCACTTTGACTCATTTCAACCACATAAAACATAAACATCCCAGGGTGGAATTCATTGTGGTAATGAAAAATAATATGTGGGTCACAATGACCTGCTACGATCACCATGAGATGGTCATAACTAGTCAAACATGGTAATTCAGACATAACCACTACGTAATGTCATCACAAAAGGTTTTGGCCAACATACTTTAAAAGTGACCTTTACTGTGACCTTGAACTTTCATGACGATTACTCATGACCTTTCAGGATCTCTGCTTTGTTAGGAACATGTAACAATTTCATCAACCTCAGAATATCCTTTTGTAGTATGACCAGAATATGACCTTAAGCTTGACCTTGACATGATTAGTTAATGTGTCAAAATATAACACCAGGGTTATCAACAAGATACACATGATAAAACATCCCTGTGATGTCCAAAGACCACATGGTTTCTGAAAAGTGTCCTGATGATCAAATCTAGACAAAACCAATTTTCTTCCTAGTGGCAATTGGTTAGGGCTGCCTAAGCTGCTCTTGTCTTAGTACAAGTGAGAAGCATTGCATCTATAGTCTGTTTGCAGTGAAAACGTACCGATTGCGATTGCGAATCCTCATAATTTTACCTTGTCAACTGAACATTTAAATCTCAGAATTTTATTCAACTTGGGATAAAAGTTGTTGAACAAATGATCATAGTTTAATCAAATCGCTATGATTGGTTTGTATTACAAGGGGGTTTACACATTAAATGAAACACTGAGAAAAAGCAGGGTTGGTCTAAGTTAACGCTCATCACGTACCGCACATTATGCATTTGTTTTACTGTTCCAACTACTGCGCTTACCCCCTTGTAATACAAACCAATAATAGTGATTTGAAACTATGATCGTTTGTTAAACAACTTTTATCCTAAGTTGAATAAAATTTTGAGATATATACTTTCAACTGGCAAGGTAAAATTATGACGATTCGCAATCTGAAGTTCACTTTATTTGATTTACTTTTTTGCTTAAAGTGAAATTCGTTGGTACGTTTTCACTGAAAACAAACTATAGTCGGTTTCAGAGGTAGCACAAGCGAGTGAGTGAGTGAATTTAGTTTTACGCCACTTTTAGCAATATTCCAGCAATATCGCAGCAGGGGACACCAGATATGGGCTCCACACATTGTACCCTTGTGGGGAATCGAACCCCATGGTCCTGGTAGCACAAGCACTTATTCATGTCATGTTTATGTACTTACTTGTCAGCCACACCAGGCATGATGGCTGCATCCTCGGTGTCAGGCACTTCGTACATCTTCATGTTGCACGGGTGGAAGTGGTATAACATCCTACAACACAACAACCCATACTACAATATCTGTCAACACATGTCACACTACAACATCCTACAACACAAGCCATACTACAACATCCTACAACACAACAACCCATACTACAACATCCTACAACCCAACATGTCACACTACAACATCCTACAACACAACAACCCATACTACAACATCCTACAACACAACATGTCACACTACAACATCATACAACACATCACACTACAACATCCTACAACACAACCCATACTACAATATCTGTCAACACAACATGTCAAACTACAACATCCTACAACACAACAACCCATACTAAAACATCTGTCAACACAACATGTCACACTACAACTTCCTACAACACAACAACCCATACTACAACATCCTACAACACAACACGCCACACTACAACATCCCACAACACAACAACCCATACTAAAACATCTGTCAACACAACATGTCACACTACAACTTCCTACAACACAACCCATACTACATCTGTCAACACAACATGTCACACTACAACATCCTGCAACACAACAACCCATACTACAACATCTGTCAACACAACATGTCACACTACAACTTCCTACAACACAACCCATACTACATCTGTCAACACAACATGTCACACTACAACATCCTGCAACACAACAACCCATACTACAACATCCTACAACACATGTCACACTACAACATCCTACAACACAACAACCCATACTACAACATCCTACAACACAACATGTCACACTACAACATCCTACAACACAACAACCCATACTACAACATCCTACAACACAACATGTCACACTACAACATCATACAACACATCACACTACAACATCCTACAACACAACCCATACTACAATATCTGTCAACACAACATGTCAAACTACAACATCCTACAACACAACAACCCATACTAAAACATCTGTCAACACAACATGTCACACTACAACATCCTACAACACAACAACCCATACTACAACATCCTACAACACAACACGTCACACTACAACATCCCACAACACAACAACCCATACTAAAACATCTGTCAACACAACATGTCACACTACAACTTCCTACAACACAACCCATACTACATCTGTCAACACATGTCACACTACAACATCCTGCAACACAACAACCCATACTACAACATCTGTCAACACAACATGTCACACTACAACTTCCTACAACACAACCCATACTACATCTGTCAACACAACATGTCACACTACAACATCCTGCAACACAACAACCTATACTACAACATCCTACAACACAAACATGTCACACTACAACATCATACAACACAACAACCCCATACTACAACATCCTACAACACAACACGTCACACTACAACATCCCACAACACAACAACCCATACTAAAACATCTGTCAACACAACATGTCACACTACAACTTCCTACAACACAACCCATACTACATCTGTCAACACAACATGTCACACTACAACATCCTGCAACACAACAACCCATACTACAACATCCTACAACACAACATGTCACACTACAACATCCTACAACACAACAACCCATACTACAACATCCTACAACACAACATGTCACACTACAACATCCTACAACACAACAACCCATACTACAACATCCTACAACACAACCCATACTACAACATCCTACAATGCATGTCACACTACAACATCCTACAACACATGTCACACTACAACATCTGTCAACACAACATGTCACACTAAAACATTAAAAAATTACAATGTGTTTGATGATCGTTGTATGCCAACACACTCAGCAATATTACAGCTGAAAGATGATGACCAGCAAATTAATCAAATCTGGACCAGAAAACTCTGTGGTTGATATTGTGACCAACGATCCATTCGTTCACATCCAAAATATCCATACACCAAGCATGAGCAATGATCCATATGGTCTCCTCTGAAAGGTTGCTCGGGACCAATTTAGAATCCTCACTGAGTGCATTCATAATATTTTACTGATAACAAATACAGTAAATTATGGTATAATGAACTGACGACTATATCAATGTATCTTTTGTCGTAGCCAGTTGCTGTATATTTTAGCCAAAATACATCTAACGATTGACTGTTTGTCTTTTAACGTTGCACTCAGCTAATATTCCAGTTATATGGTGGCAGTCTGTAAATAATTCTATGCAATTAAACCAACTAATATCAGAGGTCCCTTTAAGTTTGTTACAACGGTAATACTGTAAATTAATTGAGAGGAAGCTGACCTTGCTCCCTCCTCGTCATGGAAGACCACAGGAAGAAGGTCAGGGTTATCCAGATGTTTGTCGCCTGGCATGTTCACCAGGACGTCACGAGCGCTGTATGGTGACATGACTTCTCGTCGTGTCACGTCTTCATAGGGAACATCTTGCTCATAAGGCTGGTCATATTGCTGGAAGATAGGCGACATTTCAAAATGAGTGTTTCCTGTTTCTGGAGTCAGGATTTTTGGAAGCCACTGAAAATGATTAAGTCACATAATTCTAAAAGTAAAAGAAATTCCCAGGGGGCGGTGTGTGTGGGGGGTGGGTTGTTGTTTGTTTTTTCACAGTTCAACTTCACCCGTTTTCACGGGAGTTTCAATCATTTAATAAACTTTCAGACTTTCAGGACAAGGGGTGGGGATGGGGTGCACACCCTTGCATCCCCCCTCTGGATCTACCTATGAATCCTACCTGAAAATATTCTTGCATTTAAGTTCAGTTACGGCATATCACTATTGCTTAAGTACAAAAATACAACGCCCCAATAATGTCACCTATCAATGAAGCCAGATAATGGGGACTTGATAATGAAATTTCACAAAGAAATCTGATGATGAAACCTTAAAATGAAACTTAATAATGAAACTTAATCATTACATCTGATAAAGAAGCCTGGTAATCAAACCTGAAATGGCACATTTTGTCACATCAAACCTCCCTTAATGACTAAATCTTTGAAGGGCATTTAGAAGTGGAATGCATAAGAAGAGCAATATTTTTGGGTGTCAACTTCTTTATTGTGGATAAAGAATCGTGTTTGTATTATATCCCACCACATCTATTACAATGTTGTTTAAGTGTATCACTGGCCTCATGTTTGTTTTACATATTTATTTCCTCAACATTGTTAAAGACTGTTATACATGTTTTCTTTGCAGTGCCTCATGTATGTATATATATCTCCCTCCATACTCCCTACCATCCACCTGATGAAGGAGCAAGTATACACCCCGAAACATCGTGTTATTGGCAATAAAGAAGTAGACATCCAAAAATCTTCCTTTTCTTATGCTGTGTTAACAACTTCCCACCTGTGTCAAGCACTAAATGCATTAAGGACATAATTAAGACTACCAATATCAAGCACTAAAGAGACCGTTCATAATTTATGGCTAGGGGGTGATGCTGATTTAGGGAAGGGGGGTTTGCTTTGATATTAAGGTGTTTTATAGTTGGTGTTAAAATTAAGGATTTTAGTATCGTGATACGTATCATATCGCCACCCTTATATCGGGATTCGTATTGTATCGCAGCTTCAGTGAACAATGCTTTGGCAATATATCGGCACGAGTAAAATGTTATCATCATGATGTATCGTATCGCAGGTTGTATGCCAATACCAGCACTAATGTACTAGGGGGTCAGCAATTTTGTACATAGAAATATTTAAAAAATATGCTTAACAATTATGGGAAGGGAAGGGTCATTGATTTTGTACATGACATGCAGGGCGGGGTCACTTACTTTGTACATAGATTTTAGGGGGGGCCATTCACATTGTACATGCTTCTCCATGAAAATCATCATTATCCACACACACACACCATCCCACCCCACCCCCACCATAAAATATGAACGGTCCCTGAATGCATTAAGGACATAATTAAGACTACCAATATCAAGCACTAAATGCATTACGGACATAATTAAGACTACCAGTATCAAGCACTAAATGCATTACGGACATAATCAAGACTACCAGTATCAAGCACTAAATGCATTAAGGACATAATTAAGACTACCAGTATCAGGCACTAAATGCATTAAGGACATAATTAAGACTACCAGTATCAAACACTAAATGCATTAAGGACATATAATTAAGACTACCAGTATCAAGCACTAAATGCATTAAGGACATATAATTAAGACTACCAGTATCAGGCACTAAATGCATTAAGGACATAATTAAGACTACCGGTACCAATATCAAACACACCCATATCAAGAACTACCTGTGCCAGTTGTCTCCCTTGACTCCGGCCACTGCTATAGGCTTGGTTGCCTCTCATGTTGTCTGACCTGCTGGTGGGGAGATCTGTGGCCTGGGACCTGTCCGCTACAAAAAATCAACAATTCTATTTAACTTGTGAGTTACATTTGTTTCTTATGAAACATTTCAGAACTTTTTAATGTATACTAGTATTCAACTGTTACTTCTTCACTATGTTTGTTCTGCAGTATTGAAAGTGGTAATACCCTCATCTGTTATTTGACTGACTGACTGACTGACTGACTGACTGAGTTTGGTTTTGTAGCAATATTCCAGCAACATCAACCCCAGAAATGGGCTTCACACATTGTGCCCATGTATTCGAGCGACGCGACGAGCCAACGCTTTTGTAAACAACCATTAGCCTACTCACCTGTTCATCTGTTATTTGAATGTACACATATAGAAATGTTGTGTCACAACCTGACGACATGTAAACTGAACTAATACTAAACTAAATGCACAGGAGAACCACATTTTGGGGGGACATAAAGAAAAACAAAATGATGTTTTGAATTTAATTTACATCGAAAAACAGTATGCTCCACTTCTCTCCTTAATACTACCAAACTAAAACATTTTCTAAATCTATGTTATGCAGAAAATTATGTCTCCTACACGACATGAATACAAGAAATTTGTGACCTTCTAGTCATCCTGCCACGGCGTATTTACATAGTCACACTATATTGTACAGTATGCCTATCCTACATGTATTTACTGAGTATCACTTCAAATATTCATACTGTCCTACAAAATGTAACATACAACTGCAATATCCAATAACATTTCAATCTGTACCCAAGAGAAAAGAAAGTGATAAATAAAACCCCTAAACCTTTTAGTTACATCATGCTATGTCACTATAACACTGTATCTATCTGTAACATATTCACTTCCTGTAGCATGATGAAACCTCTGTGTAACATGATGATTGATTCACCAGGATATATGCTGCTGTGTGTCTCACCATCTCTCTGCTCTTTCTTCCCCCGATTTCTCTCCTCTGTCTCCCGTTTCTTCTCCTTCTTCAATGTGGCGTTCAGGTCTCGCAACGTCCTCTCTTCGGCGTCAGAGTCATCCCACGATCCCACGCCACCTGCATAAAATGGACAATCTCAGCTCTACTTCTCTCTCTGGGCCCCGTTTCACAAAGCTCTCGTAAGCCTAAGCTTGTAACTTTTCTCGTAGCCCAAGATCTGTAACATTGACTTTTCTCATTGGCTGAGCATTTGTGAAACGGGGCCCTCCTATACTGTAACATTGACTGGGGAGAAATCAACATGCTTTCCGGATAGATGAGGAAAGAACATCATAGCGCCACGAGAGCTTTGTGAAACGGGGCCCTGGACCATAGCTACATTTAACAACTAGATCCAGGGCGAAATCAACATGCTGGTCCCGGATGTACAGACGAGGAAAGAACATCATAGCGCTACAAGAGCTTTGTGAAACGGGGCCCTGGACCATAGCTACATTTAACAACTAGATCCAGGGCGAAATCAACATGCTGGTCCCGGATGTACAGACGAGGAAAGAACATCAGCAAGATGCTCATTTAACAAAAACATGTCTGTGTCACTGATTTGGTTTGACAGATATTACCTTCTGTCAACCCAGAAACTATGCCATCCGAAACCAGATTTCCTGTCATCTGCACCAACATTCAAAATGGCCAAGCCCTTGTTAAACAGAGAGATTGAAAGTGCCACTGATAAAAAGTTTCATGGAGTGTAAAAATTGCCATGCCCATGCTAAACTGTGAGATTGAACATGCCACTGATAAATAGTTTGATGGGGTACAAAATTAGGTTTTGAATCATTTGAGTTGGTCAAATTAATTGCATTTTCCATTAAATGTATCATGGTGAATGTTATTTGCATCAGTTTAGGTGTACTGCCAGGGGACTGTGAACATATTCTTCCATGCCATTTCAATATTTATTGTGCCATGGCACACGAATACAGGGGTGGAAATAACTTTAAAATTGCTAGTGTACTCCGGTACAGTGGCAAATGTAAAATCACTTGCCCTGATAATTTTTCCACTATACCGGCCGTTTTCTTGTTGATTTTTTAAATAAACAACATAATTAACATTGGAATATCAACTGGACACCGGTACAGTGTGATATACAAACTTGCTTGCCCAACAGAAAAAAACACTGGACTCGGGCGTCGGCAATGGGTTATTTCAACTGTTAGGACATAGCATCCATTTCAGTAATCAAATAATAACAGAACAATATTTATGCTTGCAAAATGTGTGCATAATATGTTATTTCGGAAATATATAAATATATCTTTTAACCTGATCACAAGGCATCTGTAAATGCCATTATTTTAAGCATTTGGCATTGTTCAGAATGTCCTAGATTTACAGACATTCAGACAGTCCAAAACACATACACATAAAGAATACAGTTCTCAACTCGAACTGAGGCTGTTAAGAGATGTTGGTACCATGCATCCCCTCACACACAAGTAGGTGAGTTTCGGTTGTGTCGCCACACCATTAAACAAAGACACTGACCTCCCTGCCCTGCTGGGTTGACCTGTTGTGGAGCTGGAGCGACATCATAGGTGTTGCCCTTCCTGCCCCGACCTGGCCGCTGACCTATGTCTTCCTGTCTACCCTCATCTGTACAACACAAGGACAAGTGGTCAGCTCATGTTTGTTGACCACTGTCTCAGAGTTTCCTTATTTCTTCCTGTATTTCCCATGACCTGCCAACCCTGACATTCCCATGTGAAGCAAGAAAATGTTTCCTTATCCCAGTTTTCCCACCACTTTGGAAATATATATTCTTGAACTTGCACACACATAAAATATCCATGTCAGTTAGATCGTTCTTCATCTATATCTAATATAAAATTGTTTCTCATGCAAAATTACTTGATCTCCACATAAATTAATTCAAAGCCTATGGCCTAGAGATCAAAATTTTATAACTGCATAAAATATGCTATACAATCAGTGAAATATATTTTCATATAGTGAGTGAGTGAGTATGGTTTTACGCCGCTTTTAGCAAGAATGCAGCAATATCACGGCAGGGGACACCAGAAATAGGCTTCACACATTGTACCCATGTGGGGAATCGAACCCAGGTCTCCAGCATGATGAGCAGACACCTTAACCATTAGGCTACCCAACCGCCCCCACAAAAATATAGATGGCCTTGGAAACATGGGAGTTTTGTGAGGAACATCCTTGATCACCCCGTGAATAATAACTTCATGGTACGGCAATAAACCAGTTACCATGGTTACTGACATGTGAAACTGATGTGTGATATCTACCCTCAAGTGACCCCTTGAAGTCATAAGGTGGGTTGTTTGTGACAGTAACCATGGTTACTGACATGTGAAACTGATGTGTGATATCTACCCTCAAGTGACCCCTTGAAGTCATAAAGGTGGGTTGTTTGTGACAGTTACAATGGTTACTGACATGTGAAACTGACGTGTGATATCTACCTTTAAGTGACCCCTTGAAGTCATAAAGTGGGTTGTTTGTGACAGTTACCATGGTTACTGACATGTGAAACTGACGTGTGATATCTACCTTCAAGTGCCCCCTTGAAGTCATAACGTGGGTTGTTTGTGACAGTAACCATGGTTACTGACATGTGAAACTGATGTGTGATATCTACCTTCAAGTGCCCCCTTGAAGTCATAAGGTGGGTTGTTTGTGACAGTTACCAAGGTTACTGACATGTGAAACTAACATGTGACATCTACCTTCAAGTGCCCCCTTGAAGTCATAAGGCGGGTTGTCTGGGTGGTGAGACTGGATCAGAGGTGAGGTGTCGGCTGGACTGCCACACAAAGACAGGTGAAAAATTGTACAAAATACTGGCACAGAACTAATATTCATCACAAAAATATCACAAGCACTACACAAATCACATGCAAAGCATTCATGGTAGTCAAGAACTTTTATACATTACCATGACTAATAATGAAAACAGTAGCCTAGGCCTTGTGGTGAATTATAATTGCTGGTAGCAGCTTTTTGTATCTGGAAAACTTTACTGTTACTAGCTGATTTACAAACTGGCTATTAAAATATTATTATATTTGTTGTAAAAACATGATGGTTGTAAGGATCAGAGTGAGGCTACTTCAAAAGTGTAAATATCAGGCCCAGCTGTTAAAACCTAAAACTTAAAATATGAACCATTGGAATTTGTTTCACCTTTACTAATTATATGGGCCAGTGCATCCATAAACAATTATAAACCAATAAAAAACATAATTTTATTGGCACTACATTATTTTAAAGTTCACCTCATAATCACAAGGATGTTTCTTACATTAACCATTTTAACTCATAATCAAAACTTGAAAATCCTAAAAGAGTTCTACCACAAGATGGGTAGCCTACTGACTGACTGACTGAGTTTGGTTTTACGCCGCTTTCAGCAATATTCCAGCAACATCACGGCGGGGGACACCTCAGTAGGGTGCAAATTCAAATCTTTTACCACTAGACAACAACAGTGAAGTGCTGACAGATAAAGAATATGTATTTGAAATACAACCTACTTTCTTTGTTTGGGGATTATGTTTGAATTCCGTTGGCCTGTCTCTCCATTATCTGAAAATATACACACAAGCATCAATATACATCAAACAGGGAGACGATGTGTATGTCGCTAACTTAGCATCACATGTTCCATAGAGAGTAATTGTAGCTTAAATCACTATCCAGTCTTTCCACCACAACATTGGATGGTGGAGGATTTTCTATATTTTGTCCAACAAAAGACTGATCGAGGAATCATACTAATGTTAGATAGAATTGAATCATAAACTCCGAGCTACAGATAACATTTTGGGTCATTGAGTAATGTACTCAATTGGGTATCCTAATTTTCCTTTGAGTAACCAAATACATTGTACCCACCTCACTCAAACTCAATTGGGTATTTTGCCTTTTCTATTAATTGTAAAAATATAATAAAGTTTAAATGTTGGTTTACGTGTTTGTTATTTATATTTGATCTGTAATATGACAAACGATCAGAAAACTGCAAGTTGCCAAGTCCAGGTGCTGAAACAGAACCTCTCAATATACCTTAGTTATTTTATCTATTTTGTGTGTACGCATGTAAGATCAAATTTATTGAGTATTTACAAAAATTGAAGCGTACGTGTACGCAATACACTTAATAGGAATTGAGTTTTCACATAAATATTTGCGTAATTTATGCAGATACGCAGCTTATCTGTACCTCTGTAAACTTTACAACTTACAGAACATAATTGTCATCCTTTGTCATCACTTTAGAAGAAATACAAAACTGTGAAATCAATGAGCAAGAAACCTGTGTATGTACAACTGGTAATAACCATCATGCTTAGGGGGGGTTACGGGACGCTTTAAAGGCGACTAACGGGATCGGATGGTCAGGCTTGCTGACTTGGTTGACACATGTCATCATATCCCAATTGTGTAGATCGATGTTCATGTTGTCATCACTGGATTGTCTGGTCCAGACTCGATTATTTACAGACCGCCGCCATATAGCTGGAATATTGCTTAGTGCGGCATAAAACTAAACTCTCACATTCACACCTGATCATGTTGGTTTCATTGTAACTGAATTAATTAGGGTCAAGCACTTCACTAAGTACCAAAAGGAAACTCGTCTCACATTCAAGAGACGGTAATTCATTTCACACTCACCTTATGTCTCTGACTGAGATGGATGCACACAAATACTATCACTTAAACCCTTCAAACAAATAGGTAAATATCTGAATTTCTGTATTTTATGTCTCCAAACATTTTATAACAAGTGAGGCTTGTTCAATGCCACTAAAAAGTAATTCAGTTACTGTATTTCCTTTATAAGATAACTTCCTGTATTTCACTGACCTGTGCCTGCTAGAGGCCAGCATGTATATAGGGGTCCAAAATCTAGTCTGATATATGCTGGCACTGTGACAACTCTTTATCATTATGAAATACCAATTCTACAGTGATACCACAGACTCTTACTGAGTACTGGTAACTATGATCATACAAATGCTATATTCACAGGAAGGGGGTCATTATCAACAACCAACATATCACAGTATTAGACAGCCATCATCTAATACTAATAGAGGCCCAACATGAATGTTTTTAAATGGGCACATGACCCAGCATCACGCAGTGGCAGGCGCAGGCATCTGATAGAGGAAATATAATATAACTTTATGTGTAAGCTGGATGTTAGTGAGTGAGTGAGTATGGTTTACTCTGATTCAGCTAAATTCCAGCAATAATAATAATAATGCTAATTTTTGTGCCTAGACTCCAACACAATGCTGCTCTCTGGCGTTACATTATTACCCTGATGGAATTGTACTTTCAAAGCCGCTACTAAGCGCGAATAGGTCCGTACCTCTTCTCAAGTACCCATTTTGAACAGCTGGGTGGACTGAGTGCAATGTGGACGAAGTGCCTTGCCCAGGGACACAACACAGTATGAGACCCAGGTCACAAATTTTAATGTCTCCATCGGGATTCGAACCCGGGCCTTTGGCGTGAGAGGCCAGTATGCTAACCACTACACCACGGTGCCCCACCAATATCATGGCGGGTAACACCAGAAATGGGCTTCACACATTGTACCCATGTGGGGAATCGAACTCGGGTCCTTGGCATGACGAGCGAACACTTTAACTACTAGGCTACCCCACCGCCCCAGCTTGATGTTAAAAAAAGGCAGAAGCGATGCTGGTCCTGGATGTGAAGGTGACCATGCCACCTCAGATGACGAGGCCACACATCAAGGAATGAATATATAATGTTACCATTCACTTGCTTCCCCGCGGACCTTTCCTTGGGTTTGGGTCTGGCTTCACTCATCTCAGACTTGTCTTCTTCATCCTGTTGGGCAGTGTGATACGGGGATCGGAGGGGCACTTTCTTCTGTTGCCGTGGTGATGTGAAATCCAGAGTGCTTTCATCGTCCCAGTCAGAACCAGAATCACTGGCAACAGTTTGACTTCTGTCAGCCTGAAAGAATCACAATCAAGGTTGACATAAATACTCAGCATAAGTCTCTGAATATATAGAATTTTGGTACAAACATTTTATTCCTTTTAAAATGAAAATGAGCCCAAGAGATATGGGAAATCCTGTACCTGAGAAAATCTAGACTAGCTTCATTTAGGGATTTAACATTTGCAGAAAGGGTTGAGTGGAAGGAAGGGAAATAATGTGGTTCAGGGACTGTGAGACAGACTAACTCAACATGTGTTTACAGGTGAAAGTGATGGGTTTTGTACAGGGACAATTGTTGAAATATACAAAATAATTTGATGAAATCAGTACACCATTTTTACAAATTGTCACAAAAAATATTACTTCTACATGTAGGATTCATACATGGATATATCAATCTATCACTGGCAACCACATCGACATACTTTCAATAATTGTCAAAAAAAATATTTCTACATTTTGTAAAGACTTCAACATGTTCAAATGACTGAATAAAGAATATCACACAGAAATTAACAAACTCTTTGCAATGTCCACTGAACATTTGTCTCTGAACAGTTCCTGACCTAAGCAAAAGAGATCTTTATAAACTTCTGCCTGGGGCCCTTGTCATAACTGTAATGTAAAAATAAACAATTCAGGGCCATACCACTGCAGGACACAAGAGACCCAATTCATTTTGAACATTTATAACTATTAAAAAAAAGTCGTATTAGTTAATCAAATGCAACTTTACAATTTCCTATCGACTTCTGCAACCCACTCTTATCCAATCATTGTGGTGAATCATTGAATGACAAGATCCTGTGGTGATGTATGCTACTTTGGTTGATGCATGTGATCATATCCCAATTGTGTCAAGCAATATTATGGTGTCAGCCACTGAACTGTCTATTCCTGACTCAATTATATTACAAATTGCCAGAAAAAAGATGGAATATTGCTGAGTGTAGCATTAAACAACACACATTTCCTGTCTGAATACATGACATATTTTATGGTTAACAACTTCTTTTAAATAACTTAACAATGGTTAACTAAATCTTTATGACAATGTTTCAGAGCTAATACTTGCATCCATCACCTCATGAAGGACCAAAAATTGGTTCTGAAACGTCATGATAAAGAATAAAAAGAAGTTGTTATCCATAAAAGGTGTCATGTATTCATGTTCGTCCAACATCTAAATGCCTTTCAAGAACAGCATTTCCTGTCATTAATTTATGTTATAAATGTTTATTATTACCAAAAACTGTTATCAGTAACTGTTCCAAGCCACCAATAATGATAAACAGGATAATGAAAGTTTTTGTTGGAGAGGATGGAATTACTCCAACGTACTAAGATCCACAAACATGAAGGATATCATCTCAATCTCTGCTACAAAGTCTTATCATGCATCACCTTTCCTACATTGACCCAATCACGCAATAAGATTGAAAACCATGTAACTGAGAAATATTGCCTTTGTTAAGCTGCAGATATTTGTAACACAATGCACTAGATTTCTAAATCCCGAAAACATTTGACATAATCTACTCTAGCCGTCACAGCGATAAGGCTAAAGATCTGACATGATTTATACAATCAAGGAAGCACAAGTTATCAAACACGAAGAAATGTCTCATTTTTCACAGACGGGATGACATATTACGCTCACCATTATGGAACAACGAATCAATATTCCTTAACGCAGAGAAGTTGCGTAAAACATGTGCCCACAAGAGATGCAACAAGGAATTTCCGAAACCAAGGCAAATACGTAAACTTCCGGTTTGGCATGCGCACTTCCAACTAATAATTTCGAAGCGGTCATACAATCTTCCCCGAGAGACATTCCAATGGATACATTACTGTATTCGACACCAGCATGGCAATGCGCTTAATATCTGTTTGAATATGCAATTTCTTTTATCAGCGTGCATCTGTTTATGACACACAGGAGACAAAACGCTGCGGTTATTTACTGTACTGTTGCTCAAAATTAGTGTCCCCACAAAAAATGTTTTTTAGATAAAACAGTACATTCATTTCCTGCAAACTCATTTGAATTACATGTGCGGCTATTTCATGATATCACAATGATATACGAGAATTTTGTTATCATAATTTACAGAGTAAGTGTATTTTGTTTCATTAGCCTTTATGGAAGAAGGGTGAAATTCTTAAAAATTACCTTGCCAAAGATTGTCAGTTAAATGTTTGTTGAAAACCAGTCACAACATATGTAGTTACATATTTGTTTTAAGCGTCAAGCATAATCTGTCTTCCAGACCCGGGAGTGAAATGGAAAAATAACCTGTGTCCAACACAGACTGGAAGGGTCGAGAGTATTTCAGCTCTGGGCTGAAATTGAGCATTGGTCTGGGCTCTCTTTGGATTATTATTTTATAAGTTAGATATATACTTTTAGATATTTAACTTTATTTCTGTAACCAAATGTTAGTTAATGTACTGGCCCAATGAGATACGATGCTGCAGTTTAACATGGATGCTCCACTCTGATTCAGAGCTAGCCAGGCCTTGTTTTTGTTTGTTTGTTGTTTTTAACGCCGCACTCAGCAATATTCTAGTTATAATGCGGCGGTCTGTAAAAAATCGAGTCTGGGCCAGACAATCCAGTGATCAACAGCATGAGCATCGATCTACGCACTTGATATATGTCAACCAAGTCAGCGAGTCTGACCACCCGATCCCGTAAGTGGCCCCTTACGACAAGCATGGGTTACTTAAGATCAATTCTGACCCGGATCTTAACGGGTGCCTTGCTTGGTAAGAAGATAGAGATATGAGGCGTCATCTGTCCAAACTGCAGCAGGCCGCACGGACACACGCACCCACTTTCATGCACATGCAATAAACGTGAACGTGACGTTGAATCCCATTTTACTATCCTCAGCATAGTTATCAGGTATCAAACATCAAGATTCCAGGGGGGCGGTGGACCAGGCCAGTGGTTAAAGGGTTCGGCCGTCACGCCGAAGGCCCAGGTTCGATACCCCTCGAGGGTACAATCTGTGAGCCAATTTCTGGTGTCCCCCGTCGAGATATTACTGGCTATATCGCTCAGATAAGAATAGGCTCTCAGCAACAAACCGATACACCTGTATCCAATACATCACCAGTACCCAATACATCACCAGTACCCAATACATCACCTGTATCCAATACATCACCAGTACCCAATACATCACCTGTATCCAGTGCATCACCTAGTATCCAATACATCACCTGTATCCAATACATCACCAGTACCCAATACATCACCTGTATCCAGTACATCACCAGTACCCAATACATCACCACCTGTATCACCAGTACCCAATACATCACCTGTATCCAATACATCACCAGTACCCAATACATCACCTGTATCCAGTACATCACCAGTACCCAATACATCACCTGTATCCAGTACATCACCAGTACCCAATACATCACATGTATCCAGTACATCACCTGTATCCAATACATCGCCATCCAATAACTATTTCTTGACACGTTTGTCCTAAGAGCCGACTAATGAGCAAGCAAGATGAGTAGTCATAACCGGTTAACCGTCTGTGTGCTATCGGTCCCAAGCATCGTTTCTCATAATAGCGGGGCGGTGGGGTAGCCTAGTGGTTAAAGCGTCTGCACGTCACGCCGAAGACCCGGGTTCGAATCCCCACATGGGCACAATGTGTGAAGCCCATTTCTGGTGTCCCCGCCGTGATATTGCTGGAATATTGCTAAAAGCGGTGTAAAACCATACTCACTCACTCACTCTCATAATAGTAATCACTAGTTTGCCTCGCCCACATTCGAGTATTTACAGGCCGATGTAATATAGAGCGAACATTAATGGCTGTGAAACATAGGCGATGCACATGCTTCCATCACGTGCAACTAGAAATATCTAGATACAGGCAAGTTTGCTTGTGTGTTTGTATCTCAGCGGTGTGATTGGTTCATTGATTGCTGTTTAACGTCGCACTCAGCAATATTCCAGCTATCAGCGGTGTGACGGCGGTCTGTAAATAATGGAGTCTGGACAAGTCAGTCTAGTCATTCCTATCATGAGCATCTGCGTATAGTTGGGATACAAATTACGTACATCATCCAGCGAGCCTGGCCACCCAATCCACACACAGGCAAAAGCAGATTTCAAACCAGCATAAAAAGCTGAATTGTGAAAAAATGTAATTTAATTTCTATTTTGGATGTTAACAATTGTTTAAAGGTTTTGGAACTGTATAGACCTCCCTCAATAATCTTTTTGAACGTGATTTAATCCGTCTGAGAAGAAATTATAATAATTTGTGTACCGTTGGCAAACTTCATGAGTATTGCTCAAACTTAGATCAGAGTTCATGGACACGAAATCAACGAACTTACAAATCATCCAATCACAGAAACACATTGGTCTTTTCATCTGAACAATCCAAACGGCTGCTTGGAGGAATTGTAAATAATTGATGTAGTCTGACCAAGAGATCACACCGCTGTTGACAGGTGCTAATTGTGCCCACTTTGTCTAACCATTACCAAGGCGTTGATTCAGCCATTCCGAGCAGACGAGAATATGTCGGTGAAGACATTGTCAGCAGACGTTCAAACTGGCAAGGTTCGAAGGTCAATGCACATAATTAACATTGATTATTTCAGCTGAATTCTCAGACAATGCAACGCAATAATCCTATACTTGCTCCTTATAAGTACATGAATATACAATAATTCTATCGGGATGAGAGGCAAGTCTTTTAATGTGATAGTAATGACGCCTGTGTCTCATAGTGAGTGAGTGAGTTTAGTTTTACGCCACACTCAGCAATATTCCAGCTATATGGCGGCGGTCTGTAAATAATCTAGTCTGGACCAGACAACCCAGAGACCAATAGCATGGGCATCGATCTACGCAATTGGGATACAATACATGTGTCAACCAAGTTAGCGAGCCTGACCACCCGACCCCGTTAGTCGCCTGGCCTCTTACGACAAGCGTGGGCTACTGAAGATCAATTCTAACCCGGATCTTCACGAGTTTGTGTGTCATAGAGACAACCTGTTCTAGGTATATTTATAATATAGATACTATGATAGACTTTATAATAATCTATTTTAGTTACAGACAGAGTAAATGTTTAGTATTCTTCATCAAACGTGTGGGGCGGTAGGGTGGCTACAGTGGTTGTTCAAAGCGTTCGCTCCTCACGCCGAAGTGAGTGAGCGAATGTAGATTTTCGCCGCACTCAGCAATATTCCAGCTATATGGCGGCGGTCTGTAAATAATCGAGTCTGGACCAGACAATCCAGTGATCAACAGCATGAGCATCGATCTGCGCAATTTGGGAACCGATGACACGTGTGAACCAAGCCAGCGAGCCTGACCACCCGATCCCGTTAGTCGACAAGCATGGGTTACTGAAGGGTCATTCTAACCCGGACCTTCACTGGTCCGTCACACCGAAGACCCGGGTTTTATTCCCCTACATTTCTGATGTCCCCCGCCGTGATATTGCTGGAATATTGCAGGCGGCGTCAAGCCACAGTCGGTCACTCATTAAATGTGTTGTGTATAAATGTGCATGGTATATTTGAAATGTTAGCGCAATGCTACCGTATTGTAGACATAAGAAGATGGGACAAATGCTCACACTGGTTAATTCGTCTTATATACTGATGTGCAAAAGAAAGTACACACCTGGTGTTTTGAGACCATTAAAACAGCGTAAATATTTTGCTATCAATGTTCCAATGGGGTACGACATCTATGGTGTTATTGCAACACGTACACAATATTTGTGACTTGTGAGTCGCAATGAAAACACTTTTCTAAATATCATGCTGTTTTCAGGAAAACATTTTACCAAAGCATCAGGTATGTACTTTCTTTTGTACATCAGTTTAGTTGGGCAAATCATTCTGGTCAGTGTTTAAATGAAATGGTATACAGGACGATCGAGATTTGAATTTTGCTCCCCCATTTCACTCCTTGTTTTAATATTTTGCACATATACTGGCTATACAGAAGTCATGTACATCAACAATTACTCGAAACCATCATTCTTGTGTTGCGCGTTGGGTTTCAAATTCATTTTAGGTTACATATCTGTTGTTTTTTGTTGTTTAACGCCGAACTCAGCAATATTGCAGCTATATGGCGACGATCTGTAAATAATCCACGCTTGACCAGATATCCAGTGATCAACAGCATGAACATCGATCTACGCAACTGGGATACTATCACATATGTCAACCAAGTCAGCGAGCCTGACCGCCCGATCCCGTTAGTCGCCTCTAACATATCTGTACCGCGTAATGTATACATCTCAATACCTTCCACTGCTTCTAACTCTAATTTGTTTAATATTTTAATGGAACAATACTAGTGGCAGGAAATCATTTTCTGACATATCTGTGTCAATATTGATACATGTGAATACTTACTTCGTCCAAAGGGTTAAAAAGAAAGGACCGGTGATTCAAAACACAGGGGTTCGAATCACTGTTTGGACAATAATTTAAAAAAATAAAAATCTAGATTTTTGCAACCGTATATTGTTTTTATATGTGTATTTTATGTAATGAGTGTAGCGGGAGAATTTTCTAAAAAATCCATTTCTTCACCGATTTCGTTCAAATTTGAAATATAAGTTACTCATAACATATAAAAACAATATACGGTTGCAAACATCTAGATTTTTATTTTTAAAAATTATTGTCCAAACAGTGATTCGAACCCCTGTGATTCAGAACACGGGTGAGTGAAGGCCTCAACCTTGTCC